GGGGGGGGCGTCGGCCCACGTGCTGGTGGGGGACAGGAGAACAATGGAGCCTTTGGTGATTGTGCAGGATCCACCCCCCGGCTTCCCAGCGTGTCCCCTCTGCGGGCTGGATCCGGGCGGCTGCTTGGGGGTGGGGCGGGGGGCCCTGAATGGGCCCCTTGTCTCAACTCTGGGTGTGGGCCAGGCTCCCCGGGCACACGGTGCCCTCGCCAGGCCTGGCTGGCCTCCGTGGCCTCCACCCCCAGCTGGCTGAGGATGGGGCCCTGTGGGTGAGCAGGCCCCTCCCTGACAGCCTCGGCTCCGGCCCAGGCGGGAGAGGCAGGTAGGGAGACGGACCCCATCTAGTGGGGAAGCGGGGAAAGCAGCAGCCTCCACTTCAGGAGAACCCCAGCCCCACTAGGGGGGACCTGCGCTGAGAGTGGGATCCTGGAGGCAGACCTGGTTTGTACTCCGCGCCCTGTGGCTCCTTAGGTTTATGACTTGGGCAGGTTCTTTGGTTTTTCTGAGTTGCAGTTTCCTCCTGGGTAAAATGGTACTGACAATAATACCTACCTGAAGGGCAACTGGGACGGTTACATGACATCAGACATGGGAAATGCCCAAGGAGTACCAGGCGCTCAGTAAATGTTAGTTTTCCTTCCTTGGATTCGGGGGAAGGAGGGCCAAGGGTGCAGGGATTGGCTCCGGGAATCCTGGAAGGGTCTCGGGGGTTGGGGTCAGGGCCAGGCAGGCTCTCACAATGGGCTAGAACTCTCCCTCCCTCTGGGTTCTCATAAACTTTGACTCCTCTCCCTGTCCCAGGGAGGTGAGGAAGGGCCTAGGATGAGTCACGGGGGGGATTTTTCCTCCTGGATTCTCTATTTCTTTCTTCACTGCTGTGCTAGAGGCTCCCCAGAGACCCCTTAGGTGGCGGCCACTGGCCTGCAGCCTGTCCTCCCCACTGAACTCAATGCCGGTTCTGCCCCCTACTTGTGGCTTGTGTATCGGAAGAAATGGCTGTGGTCATGAGGTTCTTCCGATGGATTTGGCGCAAGGTTAGTCGCTCGGTGAGTTTCAGAGATCGCCCCTTCCTCTTGCCCTGCTGGGGTGGGAAGTGCTGGTCAATGACCTCTAGGTCACAGAAACCCACACTTCCTCACCTGGCCTCCCTCCTCTCCTGGCCACCTGTGGCCAAACAAGATGGAGAGGGAGGTGGTGAGGGACAGGACAGCTGGGGAGGAGGCCCCTTCTCTGGGCCTTCCCTTCTGACTGTTGTCTCTTGCTCTGCCCCTCACTTCTGTCTCTCCTCTCCCTGTCTCGGTTCTTAGGTTTTCTTCTGGAAACACAAAGCTAAGTCAACCATCGTAGAACGCACTGACTCCAAGAAAAATGAGTTGAAGGTGGAGAAGACTTCCAAGGTGTCTGAGACTTTCAAGTTGGTTGAGTCCCCCAAGGAAGCTAAGGTCTCCAGGATGGATGTGTCCTCCAAGGTGGCTGACCCCTGCGTGTTGGCCAAGACCACCGCGGACGGGGCTGCGGTGGAGGCGGGCCATGGGCAGAGATCGCTGTTGCAGCTGCCCCGGACTGCTGTCAAATCTGTCTCCATGCTCATGGTCTCCGCCCTGCAGTCTGGCTGGCAGATGTGCAGCTGGAAGGTCAGCACGTTGTCCCCCTTGTCCCCAGCAGCACCCCCCTCCTATCCCCCATGACTCATTCACGCTGGTGGGAATGTAAAATGGTGTGGCCACTCTGGAAAAACAGTGTGGTCAGTTCTAAAACTAAACATGCAGTTATCATATGGCCCATTGATTGTACTCCTGGACATTTATCCCAGATAAATGAAATTTTATGTTCACACAAAAATCTGTACGTGAACATTCATAGCAGCTTTATTCATAAGAGCCCAAACCAACCCAAATGTCCTTCAATGGGTGAGTGGTTAAACTGATATATCATGGAATGATACTGCTCAGCCATAAAAAGGAAGAAACTATTGATATATGCAACAACTTGGATGGATCTCAAGGGAATTATGCTGCGTGAAAACAACCAATCCCAAAAGGTTATATATCGTATGATTCCATTTATACTATATACCATTCCAGAAATAACCACATTAGAAAAGTGGGGATCCAATTAGTGGTTTAGTGGTTGCCAGGGGCTGCGCATGGAGGGAGAGACGGGGGAGGTGGGTTGGTTATAAAAGGGCAACATGAGGAATCCTTGCAATAATGGAAATCTCCTGTATCTTGACTATGGTAGTTGAATACATGAACCTGCACATATCATGTAAAATTGGGAAGAATTCAACACACACACACAAGTACAAGTAAAACTGGAGAAATATGAATTCAGATCAGTGGATTGGATTGATGTCAGTATTCTATGATACTACTAGAGTTTTTTTTTTTTTTTTAACATCTTTATTGGGGTATAATTGCTTTACAATGGTGTGTTAGTTTCTGCTTTATAACAGAGTGAGTCAGTTATACATATACATGTGTTCCCATATCTCTTCCCTCTTTGTCTCCCTCCCTCCCACCCTCCCTATCCCACCCCTCCAGACAGCCACAAAGAACCGAGCCGGTTTCCCTGTGCCATGCGGCTGCTTCCCACTGGCTATCTACCTTACGTTTGTTAGTATATATAAGTCCATGTCTCTCTCTCGCCCTAACACACCTCACCCTTCCCCGTCCCCATATCCTCAGGTCTGTTCTCCAGTAGGTCTCTGTCTTTATTCCTGTTTTACCCCTAGGTTCTTCATAACATTTTTTTTTTTTCTTAAATTCCATATATATGTGTTAGCATACGGTATTTGTCCTTCTCTTTCTGACTTACTTCACTCTGTATGACAGACTCTAGATCTATCCACCTCATTACAAATAGCACTACTAGAGTTTTGAAAGATTTTACTATAGGGGGAAAATAGGTAAAGAGTCTAAGTATTATTTCTCACAAGTACGTGTGAACCTACAATTATCTCAGTCAAAATTTTAATTTAAAAAGGGAAGTGTCTAGATTACTACCAAGTCAGTTTATTTTGGTTTTGAATTAGGTATTACTGCATTAATAATAATTTTTGAAAGTTCACCTGGGGAATTCCTTGGCGGTCCAGTGGTTAGGACTTGGCGCTCTCACTGCTGAGGCCCAGATTCACTCCCTGGTCAGGGAACTGAGATCCCACAAGCCACGTGGTGTGGTCAAAAATAAAATAAAATAAAATATTCTGGGCCGGGAGAGAGGCATCAGGTATAACAAGTTAATGGATCGGAGTGATATTTAAGAGGTAGAATTGTTGTCCCACGCGGTTGATTGCATGATGGTGAGGGGCGAGGGGGAGACAGCCGTGAAAACAGGCTGGAGCCATTCACTGGAAGGAGAGTCGACTTAGGGGAGGAAGTAACGACTTTAGGGCGTTGGGACAGGATGAGTTGAAGTATCAGAGGGACATCTGCAGGGAGATGTCTAGGAGGCAGTAGGTTATACAGGCCTGGAGGTCAGGCGAGAGCTTTGGGTTGGAGACAGAGTTGGGGGTGTCATTCTGGCCTTCATTTTAATGCACTCTCCATGGAACCCTAGTGGGGACTCAAAGGTGGGTCGGACATGGTCCCTGTCTTCCAGGAGCTTGCATGCTGGTATTGAAGACAGATGAGTCCACAGAACAAATAGTGCATAAAATGTGGTATGACAGGGTGAACACAAGAGTAGAGGCAGGCCGAGAAGGCTTCCTGGAGGAGGCGTTGCCCAAGCTGAGGCTTGACAGGGCAGGTGGAATTAGATAAGCCTTTGCCGTTTATCTGCAGGTGGTTCCACCAGTGGTTTCCCCCTAGACCAAGCTGTTCATCTGTGCTCATCTTCTCTCTTTCACAGTCGTCTGTGAGTTCTACCTCAGTCACCTCCCAAATGAAGACCGGGTCCCGTTTGGAGTCGAGAGGGACTGAGATGCTGCCGGAAGTGTACCTGGTGCTGTGGGCCATTCGGAAACAACTGCAGCAGCTGGCCCGCAGGCAGGAGAGGCAGCGACGGCGCCATATCCGGGCCCACATCTGTCCCCAACCTGACCCAGTTCAGGGCTTGAAACAGGATTCCCGGAGTCCCCTCTAGGGGGGAACCCCACATCCTCAGAAAGCCCCCACCTCACTCTTAGGTAAGGTTGATAGGAGAGGTTAGGGCAGCAGGCCAGGAGTTGTGGGTGAGGAGAAGTTTTCATACCGTCACCTCTCATCGGGACCCCAAGGCCTGGCCTGGGGTCCCACGTACTCTCCTTCATTCCTTTTATTCAATTTGTAAAAAATTATCAAAATGTTGGGAAATAAATATCGGAAATTTCTGAGTAGAGGTAGAGTGTGTTTGTGGATGGGACAGGGAGGGGCACCTGGGGCGCCGGCCCAAATATGTGTGGGAGTAACGGGGCTGGGGGTGGCGGGCAGGCCCCCGCACACTTTTAGGGGCTGAATTGCCTTTGGCAACTGTGCCGGGCCAGTAACGATAGTCTCAGAGGCACCGGTTCATTGAGGACATGCTGGGCACCAGGTGCTGAGCCCGGGCTCTCGCTGGAAATCCGACAAGACAGACTGTTGCTGATGTTACGGGACTTGTCCAGGGCCCTACGGAGAAAGAGACCTCGCTGGAAATTCCGCCTCCTCAGCTGGTCCACTGCCCTGCCTCTCTGGCGCTCTTGGGCCCGGCCACGGCGACGGTCAGGGCCCCTCACTTGGCGGACGCGCACACGCATCAGGCTCTGTGGGCCCCGCTCCTGCCGAGGGCGGCCGAAAACTACATCTCCCAGGGTTCCCGGCGGTGAGGCTGGGCCGCCGGGCGCAGAGGGCTCGGGCCGGGGGCCAGCAGTGTCGCGGTCGGAGAGTGCGGGAGGGTGTCTGCCTGGCGCCGCGGGAGCAGCGGCCGGAGACCGTGGCGATCTGGTGCGAGGTTGGGGGGCGGGGGCAACACGAGGGGAGACCGTGGAGCCTCAAGTCCCCTCTCCGCCTTAGCCTGCCCTCTTGCCGGGCCACGCGAGGGCGCAGAGGTGGCTCCCCAAGGAAAAGCAGGGATATTTCACGAGACGGTAAAATTCGGGGATGTCAGAATTCACAGGGCTTGGAGGTGGGGGAAGGTGCAAGGGTTGGCAGCCGCGCCCGAGCCTAGGGGGCAGCAGAGGCCCTGGGAGCGGGGGAGGGACGGCTGTGCTACTGGGTCTTGCTCACCGAGAAGTTAGGTGTGAGCAGGAGGCGGTGGGCGTGAACAAAGCTGGGAGCCGGTGAGCAGCAGGGATGGTTTGCTGGAAGCGCCCAGTTCACTAGAAAAGTCAGCAAACTCTCCTCCTGGCCCCCACCCCAGCCCTCCGCAGCTCTGGCAAAGTTGGACACCGTTTCTGGGAATTTGAGTGGCCTTTCCCAGAAGTCTGGAGCAGCCCCCGGCTGCCCTGCCCGATGCCCTACAGCTCTGCTACCCTGAGCCTGTTAGCTGTGCACCGCACCCCAACATTTACAGCCCTCGTAATACCACCCACCACTTATTAAACACCTACTGTGACTATTTTTATGTCTTGTTCTAAGTACTGTAATTCTCACAGTGGCTTTATGATGAAGTGTTATCACTTCCATTTTTTAGAGAGAAAAACTGAGGGACAGAAAGGTCATGTTTAAGGTCGTGCAGCTTTCACTCATCCAACGAATGTCTAGCTCACACAGGACATGTTACATACATGTTAGATAGAAGGTGTTCAATACATGAATGTGGTGGCTTCTCCAGGAATCAGTTCTGAGGTTAGCCTGAAGCCAGTCAGGCCCTCAAAACATTCTAATACACAGTGGCTCAATTCTGGGGCTTTCAATCACCAATTATTCACCACATCTCCATTGTGTGCCAGGAACTGTTCTGGGGCCGAACAGGCCATGGTAGGTCTGTCCCAGGAAGCCTGGAGGACTAATGGGTCCCAGGGTTTTGGAGTAGTGCCTCACTGTCTAAGGTCCAGAATCAGCCCCTCCAGATCCTTAGAGATATGCTCCTCTTCCTATTGGGGACCTAATAGGAAGTTTCAGTGAGAGGAGGGTAGGAAGGCTGGGTGCCCCTGAGGGTCACTAGTAAATAGCCTTGCAAGTAGCTACAGGCCCAGGAGCCGGTGGGCTTGAGGCTGTGGGCTTGTGGGAAGGAATACACCTCCCATTTTTCTCTGGCTTCTTCAGCGTCATTAGGATGTAAGGGGAGGAAGGGAAGAAGGTGAGTTCAGCCAGCAGCCACGGGAGCTGCTGACACCTCCCACCGTGTCTCCCTCCCCAGACATGACGGAGTCCTGTCTGGGCTTGGCCAAGCGGGGGCAGGAAACTCAGAAACTCATGGGACAGAAAGGGACGGGACGGAGGGGGAAAGTCCATAGAACTTGCTTTTCCTAGATGTCCCAGTGCACCCAGGCAGCCTCCTTCCTCCCCATCCCAAGTAATCTAGTCCAGAGCCCTGGAGAAGGCCCGTGTTGGGACATGAGGACGAAATTCCCAACTGGGGGGAAAGCATATAGGATCTCCTGGGGTGGAGATTTGTGTGGGGGGTGGGATTCTTACGCACCTAGTCCTTTCCTGGTAGAGAGCAGTGGGGGACAGTGTGACCCCTGGGGAAATCTTCCTCCTGATGAGTCTTTTTTTTTTTGGCCGCGCTGGGTCTTCGTTGCTGCACGTGGGCTTTCTCTAGTTGTGGAGAGGGGGGACCACTCTTCGTCACGGTGCGCGGGCTTCTCATTGTGGTGGCTTTTCTTGTTACGGAGCATGGGCTCTAGGCGCAAGGGTTTCAGTAGTTGTGGCATGCGGGCTCTGTAGTTGTGCCACATGGGTTGCTCCACAGCATGTGGGAAATTCCTGGACCAGGGCTCGAACCTGTGACCTCTGCAGTGGCAGATGGATTCTTAACCACTGCGCCACCAGGGAAGTCCCCTGATGAGAGTCTTGAGCAAAAATCCCACCTTGGCCAAAAAAAAAGAAAAAGACAAAAAAGAAAAAAAAGGGACTTCCCTGGTGGTCCAGTGGTTAAGAATCCGAGTTTCCACTGCTGGGGTTGCAGAACTGCTGGTTGGGGAACTAAGATCCCACATGCCACGTGGCACAGCCAAAAGAAAAAAAAATCTCGCCTTGGCAGCTCGGTGCTTTATGTCCACCTAGAGGGGTGGGATAGGGAGGGTGGGAGGGTGACGCAAAAGGGAGGAGATATGGGGATATATGTATATGTGTAGCTGATTCACTTTGTTATACTGCAGAAACTAACACACCATTGTAAAGCAATTATACTCCAATAAAGATGTTAATTAAAAAAAAAAAAGCTCGCCTTGGACACCTTGCCCTCCTGCCCCCATCAGACCCCAAGCACTTCCCCTCCCTCAAGGCTGCTGGACTCCATGAAGCAGAGGTGGTAGGGCTATAGGTGGGCCCAGCTGGGACCAGGGGTCTTGATTTTCAAATCCCACCCATCCTAATGGGTGCGGGGGCCCCTGGAAGTGTGGGGAGCAAAGGAGAGTGCTGGTCCCAGATGCCCCTGCTCTATTCTCAGTCCTGCCTCATCTCCCCTCCACCCCTTCATCATCAGATTTCCTGAAAATGTCAGATCTCTTCTTTTTCCCTGGGATCCCTCTACAATCTTCATCACACAGCAAAACATGTCACTGCCTTGCTTAAACCTTCCAATGGCTTTCCATCGCCCTTGGAAAAAAACCCAAACTGTCCCCTTTGTTTAAAATGCCCTTCTCTCAGATCTTGTCATGGTGGGCTCCTTGCCCCTCTGGATTCTGTACAGACGTCGCTATGTCTTTGTGGACTCTTTCC